AATATTATTTATTTAATGGATGGTGTGTGTGTGTGTGTAACTACACACATGTCACATTGTGTGTGTGAGGAAACTGGAGGAGTCAGTCCTCTCCTTTCTACCACTTGGGTAACTGACTTTAAAAAGAAAAGACATATTTTATATTTCAGTTATGTACATGAATGTGTACCTCTCCGTGTGTGTGTGTGTGTGTGTGTGTGTATGTGTGTGTGTGTACGACAAGTGGGTGCATGTGCCCACAGGAGCCAGCAGAGGGTGTAAGATCCCCTGGAACTGGAGTTACAGGCAGTTTTCCACTACCTGACCTGACTGGCTTCCCTCAGTGATGCAACTGTAATCAGGACTCATAAACCAAATAAGCCTTTTCTTCCTCAGGATGACTCCACCCACAGTGTCAGTCACAGTGATACACAGCAAACTGGGGTGGGGCTGGATGGAGTCTCACTGTAGAACCCAAGCTGCCCTGGAACTCCGCGATTCTGGTGCATCTGCAAGTGGGACCGCAGGCATGTGCTGCCGTGGACAGCTTCTAGATGCATTTTGGAGGAGACAACCATTCAGACCCTGGGCAACCCCAGTGCAGATTTAAACAACAGCCACAGCCTTTCCCAGGAAGTCCGCTAACCTTAAATAGCATCCTCTCAGCAGGAGTTTGATTCTCCTGCAAGCTATTCTCATATTTATCTATTTAAATGAAGATGAGACAGTGTCTAGCAATTAGGACGCCATTTTCCCCTCCTATAAATTATTCCAGTGGTTAATTAACTCCTATTGTAAACAACTTCAATGATGCAGAAGTTGAGCGAATGGGATTTAGTTCTGAGTTTTGTTTTGAGACAGGATCTCACAGTCTAGGCTAGCCCCCAAATCCATCGATGTAGCCAAGGATAGCCTTGATAGCCTTGAACTTCTTGATTCTGCCTCTACCTTCTGAGTGCTGGGATTTCAGATGTGTGCCACCATGTCTGGCTGTTGCTATGAGAAAAGCAACTTAAGGAAGGAAGGAAGGAAGGAAGGAAGGAAGGAATCCAGTCACACTGTGGCATCTCGTAT